GGTGCCACGGTGCCCCCCGTTCCTGATGCCCAGGGGGACACGGCTCGAGGGCTCCACTGCCACCGCTGCCACCAGCCCAGCCCAGGGTGGTGGGACCATGGGCACCCACGGCTCAGCACCCACCACACCACAAGGGGCCAGGGCACCCAGGGTGGGGACCAGGATCCATCCTGGCACCCAGGGGGTACCAAAGAGCCAAAATGGGGTTTGGGTCTTCCAGCACCCATGGCACAGCACCCCGTCCTGCCATCAGAGCCACCCCAGAGGGGCAGGATGAGGCCACCATCCTCCACACCCCGCTGTCACTCCCCCAGCCAGAAGCCACCGTCATGCCAGTCCCTGTCCCAGCAATGCTGGGGACAGCAGCAGCAGCCAGGTGACAACAAGGACACCCCCCAGGTCCCCCTTCCCTACCCAATGTAGTTGGTCCTCAAGGAAATCTCCAGCTCCCGGAGCACCTGCGTCGACTCCTGCACTCGCCTCTTGAACTGGAGGATGGGGAGAGCTGTTGGCACCATCCCCATGCCTGACCCAGGACAGGACAAGGGGTGGAAAGGGGAGCCCTCACCTTCCTGCTTACGCCACCCGTGTCCAAGTAGCTCTTCAGCTTCTGTATGTAGGCGGACGGTGGGTTTTTCACCTGGAAACGCTCCTACGAACCCCAGAGAGAGGCTGAAACCAGGCCACCCATCCACCGCAGGGGGACGTGCCCCCATACCTGCGGCAGCCACCGTGTCCCTGTCCCCACCCCTGCACTGCATCCATGTTTAATCAGGTTAATAAGGCGCCATATCGCTAATGGAGATGGATGTTGGTGCTTGGCACATGCTGGGTTGCTGCCCGCACCGCGAGTGGCACGTGGGGACAGGGACAGCACTGGGGACACCGTGACGCCCAGACCTCACCTGGTCACAGATGAGCTCCCACTTCTTCTCATTGTCGTACTGGTTGAGCAGCTGCATCTTGTCTGGGGGCAGGTTCATGGAGTTCTGTGGGGTGATGGGTGTCAGGGCTGGGGGTTACCCCCAAAAAACACCCCCCCAGGGCTTTAACACCCGCTGCTCGCCCAGCACCCAGTGGCCTTGCTCAGCAGTGGGGTGATGGGGACACCCATGGGAGGATGGGGACATCTGCAGGAGGATGGGGACACGGGTGGGAGGATGGGGACACCACCATTCCTGGGATGTTAGCATCCCACCAACCAGGGACCCCTCAGGAACATCCCCACATGGGGGTCCCTGAGGCAGAGGGCTGGGGATGTTAGTGGGGGACAGAAGGAAAAACTGGACCTGTCCACCCATGTCATGAATGCACAATGCTCCCGGTCTCAGCTAGCCCAGTCCTGGCCAAGCCACTTGGGGTGAGGGCTGGGGACAGGGGCTGGGGACACAGCTGAGGAGCCCAGCAGCCTGGCCCCCACTCGAGGGTGATGGTCACCCCTGTGTCCCCCCACTGCAGGTGCGTGACGAGCCTGGCTGGTGAAATCAGTGTGCCTTTAGAGACACGATGTCAGGGCAGGGGCTGGTGTGTCTCCACATCCCTCCCTGCCACTGTTGC